AACCTGTCCTTGGAGTACTAATTTAGTTCTGAGTGCCAGGACTACGCAGGACATTATGAATCTATTCATGAGGGTAGTGCTGCAGGGCTAATTACCTCCCTCTAGGCTTCAGTGCTGAAGTCCCACTGCCTCCTAACACTGCTGTACTGGTGACCAAACCTCAACCTGTGAACCAGGGATGATATTATCCCTAGCAGGATACTTAGTCAGAGGTGTTCAATAGGAAATTGTATATAAGACGCTGAAACTCAAGTACACAGGTGTACTGAAAATATAAATTAGGAAGTAACTATTTGCATAGTTAAAAGCAAGGGTAGAAGTAAATTATCTTTGGAAAACTAAATGGAATGAAAACCAAAGAGTAGGATGAAGGTAGAGAGGTAGTGTTTGAATTAACAAATTAGGAAGTAGTTGAGGGAAGGAAACTAATATAATGATTAGAGAAATAGTGTTTCTTTTTTTTTTTTTTTGGCGGAACCGGGGATTGAACTCAGATCCTGGCATTTGCCCATCAAGCACTTATCCTACTGAGCCATCTCCCAGGCCCCTGAGAAATAGTGTTTCTTAATCAGACATTACATACAGTTCTTAAAAATCTGGATGCCCAGCTTCTATGTAGACCTGATTATACAGTTCTGCAAACTTACTTTTTCACACCAGTATGTATTACTTGAACTCATTCTTTCCAACAGCTGGGTAATAATGAAGATAATGTATTAAGAATTTGAATTAATGACTTTCTGTGTCTTTGTTGAGCTCCAGCAGCTCACACAGGAGTTTGCTGTGTTCGTCTGTACTGCCTTGTTTCTCATCTGCTTTTGTTTTCCCCAAGTCTAGGTTCACTTCATCTCTTTTATCCAAACACCTGCTTAGAATTCATTTTTGTTTACCCAGACTAGGGCATAGAACAAATAAACTTTAAGTGAAAAGTTTATTGTACTACAAAGGTATTTTTTGGGAAACAGTATAGTTTTGTTTTTCTTGAGCTATCTAAAGCATCTTTTCTTATTTTCTATAAGGAAGTGCTGTGTCCATCATTTTTTATACTCTGGGCCCTGTCTGATTGTGTCATTCCAAAGATGATTCTTTGCTTTGTCTTACCAGAAGTATGCCACATCATCTCATACTGGATTCACTTTTAGGTGAATATTTTCTGGTAGACATTCTTTGTGAGACAGTATTTTACCTTAAGCACAAAGTGGTAGACTGTGGCTTTTCTTCCATGATTAAAGCACAATACAAACATGGGACTAATCTTTCATCCCTATTAAATAGTGATAGGAATTCCGAGGTACTATTAGATAATATGTTTTAGGGAGACATGATTTGTCTGTATTTTTTTCTTTCTGCATTTTTTCTTTTGTGTTTGTTTATAAGCATTTTATAGTTCCCATATTGGATTCTCTATCATAACCTTGAAAACTGGGTAAAGAAAACTGGGGTCCCTTGTTTTGGCAGGGTGGTTCACAGCACTCAGCTACTCCCCCAGCACATCCTACCTTAGGATAGCTCATCTAGATAGTTTTATGCTTTGAGGTAGTGTTTACCTTTAGAATTAAAATCAGAATGACTTTAGTCAGCAGTTGCAAAGATAATTATTATTTCCTGTCTCTTTTCCACTAACCCCCACTTGAGGGAGGGTTGGGAATCAACACTATAAAGGTGTTATGTGTGCCATCCTTCTGTCGTTCAGTGTTGTTTTTCCCATGTGCCAGTTTCCTCACTGGGAATGAGGTAACAGCTGTTTAATCACTCTTGCTTCCAGCATTAGATTGTTTTTATTTCTGTTATGAAGTGTGATAAATAGCTTCTCAGACTTTGATATACTAGAGAGGTGTGCTTAAGGGCACCCCAGTACCATAGCTAGTAAATTTAGATTTTAGTATCAGCTCTGCCATTTTATTATGTGGGTTTGAATTTGCTTAACTTTCCATGCCTCAGTTTTTCTAATTAGAATCCTGGAGAATACAGTATGATGTTAAATGTCTCAGCCAGCACTTATTCCTTATATGCTCTAATTTAGAACCTTAGATGTTTCAGGATCAAGTTTTGTTTCGACAGATTCCCAAAGATACACTTGGTGGGCCAAAGGGTAGGAAGATATTCAGAGTTTTGACATATATTAAGAATTGCTGGGGCTGGGGAGATGGCTCAGTAGGATAAGTGCTTGACTGGCAAACGCAAGGATCTGAGTTCAATCCCCGGTTCCGCCAAAAAAAAAAAAAAAAAAAAAAAAAAAGAAACGAGAAAAAGAATTGTCTTGGCAAGCCCAAGGTCCTGAGTTCAGTCCCAACCCCCCATGCCCTGTGGGCCCTGGAACCCTGGGTGCTCTCTCTCAGCCAACCTGGGAACCTGGTGTGGTGGTGCAGGCCTATAATCCCAGCACTCGGGTAGTTGCAGCAGGAGGATTGCTGGGAGTTCGAGACCAGCCTTTGGACTACAAAAATGAGTACAAGGCCAACCCAAACTGTATAGTGGGACCCTGTCTCAAAAAAATGCCTTCTAGAAAGGCAGTGCCACTTTACTTGGGAGCTGATTTTGAGAGTGTTTGGTTTTCTGCAACCTTAATTTTGGCCTCTGTATTTTATATTTTTTGTGATATTTTGAGCAAGTCCATTGCCTCTGAAGTTTACTGGTAGCTTCAGAATGCTGTGAAAAAACAAGAGTAAATTGGCTTGGGACAAGTAAAAGGATTATTCCCTTGGTTTATCCACATAAACCTTTATGTTTAAACCTTATTTTGCTTATTTTGTTTCTCTCGATCATTTTGGTCCATATGTAGGTACTTAAATTTTTCTTTTGCTCATGTTTTATAATTTACAACATGCCTTCCAGCAGCTGGGGAGATAGCTCAGTGGTCCAAGCACCTGCCTGGCAAGCACAAGGACCTGAGTTAGATCCTCGGTACTGCATGCCAATGCTGGCCCCCCAAATCAGGAGGATCACTACGAATCGCAACTGCATAGCTAGGCTCTGTAACAAATACATAAAAATTTAAATAAAAGTGCTTTCCATAGTTATTTTCCACTTGGTTCTCACAATAAACCTGTCCAGTAATTAGGGCAATATGAAACAGATTCAGAAACATTGTGATTATCCAGAGGAAACAAAACTTGTAAGAGGTAGAACAAGGATGTGAGTGGTCTATGGAAAGATTCTTGCTAATATTCTGCAGGTCCTTTCATGGTACTGCTTCAGCTTTAGTAAATAAACTTTTATTGTTACATGAGATCAATAGGACTTGACTTCAGTTCAGAACATAGTAACGTCATAACTTTTTTTCCAAATATTAAAATCTAAAAATGTCTAGAGGAGTAGGGTACATATATGAAGTACACACATACACTTTTATCCCTTTAGTGAAAGAATGTAAGAGTAGAACTTCACTAAAATTTATTTTTTGAAATTCTGAAGGGGGGCTGGATTGAATTGTTTGCATATAAATCTCTTCATAGTGTAAATTCATATTAACCAAATGTCTTAGAAACTTGAAACAGGCAATCCTTGATAAGGCCAGCTTAATTTACTAAAGATACTTGAAACTAAGTTTCTTAAATTTTTATGGATTTAGATTTTTTTGTTATTTCAAATTAGGCCCTCACTGTTTTTTCTTTAAGAAAACTTTTTCTCTGGAATTCTTCAAATCCAAGAGAACTATTACTACCTTATGGCATAGATCATGAGTAGGTCTTACGTGGATGGATAATGTCCTGTTGTCAAAAATAGATACTGAGTGATTAATGTCCAGATTTGATGTAAGTTCTCAAAGGTTTTAACTAAACTATTATTAAAAAGTTAGGACTTTTAGAATTTTTCCTGAGGAATACGTATGTATAGTTAAATACTATTAATCGTTAAACCTCAATGTGCTCTCTAGTCCATGGGTGCCCTTAAACTTCTATATAAGGAATTTGTTTTTATTCATCTAATTTTACATGTAAAGATTTTATATTATCATGAGACTCACAACCTTCTGTTCAACAAATGTCTGTAGTGGGCTGGGGAGTTAGCTCGGCAGTCTAAGTACCCTCTGGGCAAGTACAAGGACCCAAGTTTGATCCCTGGTACTGCATGTTGTGTTGGCCCCGAAATTGGGCATAGTCGTGCACTCCTGTAATCCCAGTGCTGGGGAGGCTGAGGATCACTACAAGTGTGAGCTGCATAGCAAGTCCCTGTGTCAAATAAATAAAAAATAAAATTACAAAGTAAAACAAATGTCTGTAGCACTTATTGTTACTGTGGAAATAAGAACAAAGACTTTGTAAATAATTCCTACTAAATATTTTCTTATGTAGGCTTCACGATTAAAGAATGTATGGTGATGGGCCTGGCGAGAGCTCAGTGGACTGAAATGCCTGCTTAAGCAAGTTTAGGCAAGCGCAGGGACTTGGTTCGATCCCTGGCACCACATGCCGTGTGAGCCCCCAGGGCAGGCTGAGCCAGCCACAGAGTCTAGGCATAGTGGCACACACCGGTAATTCCAGCACTGGGGAGGCTGAAAACAGGAGGTTCACTATGAGTCCTGCCTGCATAGTGAGGCCCTGTAACAACCAAATATATTAAAAAGTAAAATAAAGTAAAAAAAAAAATGTGGTGAGGTTGTACAGAAAAAGGTAAAGTACCTTATAATTTTGAACTTAAAATTAGATTATTATAATTATTTTATATTTTATTAAGGTACCAGTACATTTGTATTTTTCAAAAACATGTTGGATTGATAATGTTTTGAAATCAATTTTTTTCTTTGTTTTTTTGAAGAGGGTTTTTTTTTTTTTTTTTTTTCTTTTGGCTGGCCCAGGATGCCTTCAGCGCAGGTCTGGTAAGGCTTGAAGATCTGGGGATCGAACCACAGCATCCTGATTGCTTTGTTTAAGCTGTCACTTAAACAACTGAGCTAATGGGCAGGACCCCCTCATTTTTTTAAAAAAAATGGCTGAGTTTAAAGAAACTGCTTAGCAAAATACCTGCCTGAAATACTGAGACTTACATGTTTTCTTTAGGTGTTTTGTGCATCTGTTCTTCAGTGATTGCAGTCAAAACTAATATAATTATGGCAACTTTCCAGCCTTTCAAAAATAGTCGTGTGAAGCCGAGAGCATCTGTCAGAAAAGTAAGTTCACTATATTAGGTTCTGTTTTATGGAAGTTTTGATGTAATTGTTGATCATTTAATTAAAACTCATGTTGCTATGACATTTAGTTTTAAATGAGTCTTTATCATATGCCTTGAGCTTTACTCTAATGGTTTGTAAGAAATACCATACTACATTTATTCATTTAGCAAATACAAATTTGAGTGCCACTTAAGCCCTGTGCTAGATGTTGGGTAATGAGTAAGAAAATGAAATACAGTTAGTAATCCTTTCTTCTTTCTAATCTAAGGAAGAACCTCTTATTTCACCTCTAAAACAAGTTGGAGCTGAGCATGGTAGTGCTGAAGCAGGAGAATCCCAAGTTGATAGGCATGGTGGGCAAGTTAGCAACTTGTCAAGACCCTGTCTCAGAACAAAATATAAAAGGATCTGGGTATGCAGCTCATGGCCCCAATATGCCCCAGTAAAAACAAAATAAAATCCTAATATAATGTGCTTAATCTTCTCTTTCTTGACATTTTGTGTTTTGTAATAACTTTGGGCATTATGTGAAGGAGAGAAGAACAGGGACTGAAGGATGGTAGACTTCATTTATCCTTTTTCTGGCCTCATCTTCTTGCACTGGATATTGTTGACCAGCCCCTGCCTGTTAAGGCAGTCTGAATTTCATTATGGTTTTTTTCTTGCTTTTTTTGTCTGATGATAGCTGTCTTATGTATTATGATAATATTTATAAGGGAGAAGATAATTCATATAAAGTGTATAGGAAAGAGCCAGTGTCCTTTAGTTACCAATTTTTAGATTAATTACTTGGAATTATAGTTACCTTTAATGATGGCAAGTGAATTTATTTCCCTTTATTCGTATTGCTTTTTAAAATGAAATGTCTATTACTGTGTCATTAAAGATGTATCTTCTTTTTAAAATTTAACAATCATTCATTCATTTACTTGGACTCATAGTAATCCTCCTTTCTGAGCCTCCCCAGCATTGGGATTACTGGTATGCACCACTATGCCCGGTTTCAGTGACTGGCATGGCTTGCCAAGGGTTCTGGGGCCAGCATGGCATGTGGTTCTGGGGTTCAAACCCGGATCCTTGTGCTTGCCATGCAGGTGCTTAGACTGCTGAGCTATCTCCTCAGCCTTTGTATTGCTTTGAAGTCACAGATTTTGTTTTTGTTTTTGTTTTTTTTTCCCATTTGTACTAAGGATTAAACCAAGGGCTTTATGCATATGATGTAAGCTTTTGAGTACCAAGTTTCATCCCAGCTCTTTTTAAAATTTTAATTTGAGACAAGGTCTTACTCAGTTGGCCAGGCTAGCCTCTAACTTGAAATCCTCCTGCCTTAGCCTCCCAAATACCTGGTATTACAGATGTGTGCCAGCTATGTTTTTATAATTTTATATTATATGTACAGTCATTTATTTATAGTGATTCATTCATTCATCCATCTGTCCATCCATTTGTTTACTTATTTATTTAAAATTGGTCAAATTGTCTCCAAATTATTGATGTGGAATTCCCTGATTGCTTTCAGGTTTTGCCCTTTTGGTACAGAAGGACAAAATTTGACCTCCTTTCCCTTCATCAGACCTGTAATGGGCCATTTTTTCAAAGAAGCCTGAAAAGTATTTAGCTACAAGACCTAAGTACTAGGAATGCTCTGTGCTATACAGTATCATGAATTTATGTTGATAGCTCAAGTTCATATTTCACGTTTTATGTATTTTCTGTTTTGATGATGTTTGATAAATTGGCATGAAAACCTTTATTCATTAATCAAAGCAAATTATTTAAGTATTGACATTTTCAGGACCATGGAATGCTTAGGGTAAAACCCCAGTTGTACAGCAAGTAGCTCATATTTTTTATTTAGACTTAGCCTTTATTTAAAAAAATGTTTTATCATTCCTTTTTTGTACCTATGTCTGTATATACATAGCCACATATACACTTTGCTTTTGCAGTTTTATGAGAGCAGTCCTGTACATATTTTTTAATATGTCAGCACCATTACCTTACCTTAGAAAATAATTAATTGAATAATGTCATTTTTTTTTTCTTATCTGCTGATCTAATCCTATGTTTTACAAATTAGGATTTTTACACAAACACATTAAATAAAGTTTGCAGGGAAAAACATCAGCAAGAGAATCCACACACAAGGTTTGTACCAGAGCTCAACACTGGACCATTCTTACTGCTGCTACTTTACCATGTACATGCTCTTCAGACAGCAGCCAGGCTCTCCAGAACCTTGAATTATATTGCACTCATCTGCTAAATGAAATCCCTCCAGTGGCTCTACATCTTGTTTACTAACAGCCAAAAGTTCTTACAGTGGCCTGCGAGGCCCTACGTGATCAGTGTACACCACGATTCAGCCTCAATCTGTATCATGCGCTTTTTCTTCAACCTTATCTCTTTTTCTCCTCATTCACTGAACTCCATTCTATTAACCTTTCTTTAAAAGGCCTTATAGGGCCTGGGGAGATGGCTCAGTAGAGTAAGCGCTTCCCTGGCAAGCGCAAGGGTCTGAGTTCAGTCCCCGGTTCCGCAAAAAAAAAAGGCCTCATGTACCATCTCCTACCTTGGGACCTTTGCTGTTGTCTCTGCCTAGAACATTCTCCCATATTCCCACAAGACTTGGTCACTTAGTTCTTTTAGGTCTCTGTGGAAATGCCACCTTCCTGAGGATGTCTTCTCTGATCATCTTCTATAAAATAAAAACAGGCTTACTCTTTTTTTTTCCCCCCATGGCACTTACTGCACTGACACATTTATGTATTACTTGTCTCACCCAGTTCCAACTAAGCTCTTCAAGAGCTTGGGCTGTTTTTATATACTGCTCAGTCTATGTCATTAGAGACAGTGGCATGGAAATAAGCACTTAAATTTGGTCAAATTGTGTTTTCATGGCTTGTAAAACTTTTCTTGTGCCTATGAGAAAAAGGTAAAACAGTGACTTAAGACTCCTAAAAATGTGTATTTTCACAATTCTCATGGATTTAGAAGAGACTCCCCAACAAGTAGTTTACTTTAGTTCTATAGTTCACTCTAGTTCTTTTAGTTCTTTAGTTCATTCCAGTCTAGTAGGATTTGAGATAAAGAGGTGGAGAATACAGTCAATACAAATTATTCTACTCTACTCAAGGACTTCACTGTCTACACAAAATTTCTTCCTTCTCCACTTCACAAGTTTCCCTTTCAAAAATGTCAGGAACCACTAGAAAAAAGACTAACTCTCAGCCTTGGAATGAGCCTATATTAAATCTCTTTAAGTTGTAGATAAAAACAACAATGGAGTCAAACATAGGCACACCTATAGTCTCAGCGTTCAGAGAGGCTGAGGCAGGAGGGTTCCTGTGAGTTTGAGACCAGCCTGGACAACATACTGAGTTCAAGGCCAGCCCAAACTACATAGAAAACCTCTCAATCAGATTTGAATCTTGTAGCTTTTTTATTTCATTGATTAAAAGAATGCAGGCAATGGAATTGATAATGTTTGAAATCAGGCATACACCTCTACATGAAATTGCTATTAATATCTGGCCTAAATCTTTAGGCATATCTTTGAATTTTATGTGCCTTGATATATAAGATAGGTTAACTTCTTCAACTGTGGCCATGTAGTAATGATATTTATGTTTAGTGGTTAGATTCCTTTAAAACTAAGGGTGTCTAGATTCTCAGGTTGTCTGGTCTGGCTTGAAACCATACTTTAACGTGGTCATTTATGGTATAGGGGAAGGAGATAACCTAGAAGGCTGAAGTGCACCGTGCAAGTACTTCACAGACTTTTTCAATACTGACAGTCAATCACTAGATAAGATGTCCAGCTTACTGCCAGTTTGTTCTTTTTCACTGCTATGCGTTCTGACAGAAAGATTTCTCCCAAAACTGAAATGGATTCACACAAACAGATTTTACACATGCAGTCCCACTATCAAAATATAGGAAGCAGTTCTTCTATCAAAATTACAGGATGCATTAAGGGAACCTTGAGAAAAAAATGTCATCTTTTATGTCATCCATACATAGATTTTTCTGATTGTCTCAAATTTCCTGATAACTTTTTGTCTCTCATCTAGGGTCCACTGAAGGTTCATATGTTGTAGTTAGTATTTATTTTTTTTGCTGTCCTTCATTCTAGACCTTTATGGTTTAGATTCTTTTTCCATGACAGAAAATCTTTGGAAAAGTCTAGGCTAGTTGTCCTGTAGAATGTCCCTATCTTCTATGCTCATATGGTTTTCTCTGTAATTAGTTTCAGCAGGAACACCTCAAAGATGATTCTGCATTCATTTCATGCTTTACTAGGTGGCCAAGACTATAGCCATCAGATATCTCCCAATAAATTCACATAGTTCCTTTGTAGTTATAAGGTTAATAAAACCTATTAGATGATAGTAGATAATGAGTATACTGTTCCCTAATAGCTTTTAACCTGTTAGATTTAGGATACATTGATGATTCTTTCCTAAATCTGTAATTATGTTTGGAATTACAAATGCGAGTTTCTAATTTAGTCATTCTGTTCTTATTTGTCAGCTAGTGTTTATGGGTAGAGTGCTCCATGATTAAACTGAGCAGTTATAATCCATTTCCATTTTTATTCTTTTTGATGTCTGAGGGTCTTAGAATTGGCCAGGAGCAATTCCTTCAAGCCGGCTCTTTTGAAATGACCCAGTTGTCTTTGAGCACTTCTTTGTGTTCTGGTAAATGTATAAATACTAGATTAACTCTGTATTTTCTCATCTCAGTTCTGGAAACAGTCATGTTTCTGAAGCACTTTAGCTCATTGTATTTAGAAACCAGACTCTGGATATTGGGAATGTTCATTGCTACTGAAGATCATTGCTTCCAGTACTTCTCAGTGAAAGAATATATTTAGAGGATTTTATTATGGATTCATATTGGTAGATTGAATTCAAATTTAATGTTACATTTTTCCCTTGAATTCTTTCATTTCTTATATCTTTAAAGCAAAGGTTTATACTAGTTTATTAAAGTTATAAACTCTGTTGACTTCATATAATATTAGAAGTTCTGAAGGCTGAGAAAATGAGTGAAATGTACTTTGATGTACATAATTTGGCTTAATGAATAAGAAAGACAAATATATATGAAAATAATAATTATAAAATGTTATGATTTAAATTAAATGATCTTAATGTGCAAGCAATATGGCAAGAACTTTGAGAGTATTTTATTATGACTAAGGGATGGGAACAACCTTCAGGTCTTGGGTTGGGTAGGTTTTCTACAAGGGTGGACTATGGAGTAACAAGATTTCTGATAAACGAGCACATTATCAAATCAAAGGAGAGACTAGGAAGTTAATATTCAGCTATGATACTCATTTTCTTTGTGTGAATTATTCTTCTACTCCTTGATCCTTGTGCCAACTCCCCTCCCCAAATCGGTTCACCCCAAAAAACCTTATTTTGAATCTTTTTCTGCCTCTAACTTTGTTGAGTAATCACTATTGTTAGTTTCACTATAGCTCCCACCTTGTTTCACTCATTATATAAAGTTGTTCCTTCTGTTCTGTCATTGACTTGGAAATCAGATATGCAATCTGTTAGTTTTAGCTTAAAGTAAGAATAAGGAAACCTATGGCTTCCTGTGTGGTGTTCCACTGAGCTAAGTGCCTAGCCTCTGGTATAGTCATGTGTTCTGGACACAAGGAACTCTTATTTAGCCTTTTCACTTGGGTGGAACTTTTGTTCTTGGTTGAATTAAGTTCTTCAAGCAATGTGAAAAGATTGAATGAATAACAGTTGGAAAATTGGTAGCTTTTCATCCAAAACTAAAATACCTGCAGGATCTCTTATTTTGTCTTAGAATTAAATTAATTAATTAAATAAATTAAGAATGTATTTTTCATCCCCTGCAGAGCTTCAGTGAAGATGTATTCCAGTCTGTAAAGTCTTTATTACAGAGTGAAAAGGAACTATGCAGTGTATCAGGAGAGGACTGTTTGAAGCAGGATGAACATGCAAAATTAACTGAGGTTTGACATATTACTTTCTAAATCCTTTTTGTACTAAAGCATAGGGTATTTTAATATATCTATGTAGGATATATGTTTAAATACTGGCTAACATAATTGTCCTAATACAATGAACACATTATATGTATAAATGTTACTGTTTATTGAAAATATAGCACTCTTCACTCTTCTACTCTGAAACATAAAAGAGCACATTACCTGTATTGATTTTTTTTTCTGTATTCATTTTTTGAGTTACTAGTCTTCATGGCTGTTTTAATACTTCAAAAAGAAAGGGTAGTTATAAATTTACCTTTGATATTAAGATGTATCCCCTGTTACTTGAGGATAAGACATACAACATGCTCAGCTATTTCTCTGTTATATCTAGTGTTTGTAATCTTTCTTTAAATTTGTTACTATGAAAAAGAGTAACATTTAAAAAAAATAAAACATCAACAGTCATATGGTTTTGGGTCTTTGCAACTTAAAACTAACACATTAAGGTGATTTTTTTTTTTTTAAATGGGGTGTCTAATAGAAATCTTGATTCTTATTTTGGGGGATGATTTTCTTTCACATTCCTTGAGAAATTCTCCATTTGATTGTGTTTTGTAAAAAGATACTTTTGGGGCCTTGTTTTGCCACCTACACCTCTTTTTTTGCATCAGCTTGGTCTTGACTTTTATTTATGTATTTATTTGGTACAGGGTCTCATTGTGCAGCTTGGACTCATAGATGGAACCTGAACCTGGGTCTTTGTGCTTGCCAGGCAGGCACTTAGACCATCAAGCTATCTCCCCAGCCCCTTGATTTGCATTTTTTATGTTCTTCTTTAATTTTAGTAAAATTGAGCCATTCTTGATCTAATTATGTGTTGGCAAATGTTACAAGTCCCCTTAGTTCTGTTCTCAACAGTTTTGCATCTCACATCTCTCCAGCTGCTTGTATGTCTATCCAAGCTCACATTCACTGCTGAGGTCTTTCTTGATCAGTAGGCAATAGAATACTGTCCTGGTGTCTTTGGCACCCGATGGCAGTGTATTTTCTCTTTTATGTTAAGTAAAGGAAACTTGAAAGACTTCTACAGCAATTTTTGTTCCATTTTAGTTTATCGCAAAGTCTCTGAAGAAAAGAAAGAAATTTGTTCTTTGAAATAATGCACATTTCTTAGTGAGTGCTTATATGTATCATAGTGAGTTTTATTGCCCAAAATTTTATAGATGTGGAAGTAGTCTCCTAGAAGTTAACCTTTTACCTAGATGTCTAGAAGTTAACACTTCCTCAGAGTTAATAACTGATTAATCAGAATAAAAATTCCAGGGTAATTTAAAATTCTGCCTTGTTTCTCAATCAGAAAGAGATCAAAAGTGTATTCAGTATTGGTTTATATTTTGACTCTGATATTACTCCCCTCATTCCTGACAACTAATTATTTATGTTGCTGTCATTTCACTATTGTGTATTTCCAGCTATACTGCTTGCTTAATAGTTCACTATTCTGTCTTCAAGTGGAAAGAAATTCTATGATGATGAAGACATAAACTGTAAATTTTTTAAATAATATCATTTTCAGTTTGTGAAAGTAGTACATATTCTTTGTAGGGAAATTGGACATATGCAAGAGTCTAAAAATGTAATGTAACTGTGAATGTATATATAGTTGTGAATTAGGAATTAAAAGTATAGATGAAAAAAAATAAGGTCACATGTATAGTGTTACCTTGGTGCTTGTTAATTGGTTCCAGGAGGTGTGGCAAGAATCAAAAATAATGAGAATCATACAAATTGTTTTTCTGGAATGGGTAGCAAGTCACAAGGCATTTGACATCAAATTATAACTTGTGTGTCTAGAACCAAACAGATGACGAGTATCAGGACAAAATCGTGTATCAAATTGTGTACCAAATTGAGTACCAAAGCAGTTGCATTTCAAGGTGTGTTTGTGATTCCATCATTTAGAATTAATCACTGTTAATAGTTTTGAGTACTGTTTTCCAGACAAATGTTTTTAAAAATAAGGTTGAAATTGTGTGTATATTGTATGTTTTTCATGACATCCTTTTTTAGTTAATAATGTAACATTCCTCTTGCTATTAAATATTCCTTAGAAATTTAATTTCTATAAACTTCTGTGAATAAATTCTGTGAGAGTGTTAAAGGAAATAAATGGTAGTATCGTAGATAAAGAGAAAACAGCCTTGCAGCCTACTCAGAGAAGAGGTGGCATTTGATTTGATTTGAAAAATGAATAAAGGTAGGTATACATCCATGAAAGAGAGATCCAGATTGAGGGGCTCAACTTTGAGATCCGTAGGCAAAAATGTGCAGGGTATGTTCTAGAGTTGGAAAGGGCCCCTGTGTTTCAGTGACAGTGAGGGAAGGTTGAAGGCGTCCCAGTTAACAATTTCCCCTGGGAAACCTGGAGGTGTTTGCACAGGGTGGCGGCATGACAGTGGGATCACCTGGAAAAAGATTATAATAGTGCAGATTAAGAGGGGAGGCAGGAGAAAAGGAGAGAAGAACATGTATTTGAAATATATTTTAGAGTTAGAATTGCTAGTGAGAAAGATGCGAACTGCATTATAGAGCCAGATCTTGGTAGAAAACATTTCATCTTTGAGAATATTGTTTTGACTAACCTAGTCAGCATTTTAATGCCTTTTATGCTTTTCTTCTATCTCTCAGCTCTGGCAAAAATCTGAGACAAGACTTAAAAAGTCAAGTTAATTGAGTTTTATTCTTTTATTGTTCAGGTCACATTTCTGGGCTTTAATGAAGAAACAGATGCTGCCCATATACAGGTATAGTCATTTTATCAGATTGGAAAAGGCTACAAGAAATCTGGAGCAGATTTTTAAAAATTAATTTCATTGGCACACATATTCTCACATTCATGATAGGGAATTGCACCTGTACATATTGTATCTTGATTCTTTTTTTTTTTTTTTTTTCCCATTCTCCTCCTCTTCCAGGTGAGACCATGAAAAATGTACCTTAATGGCCCAAATTTACCATAAATTTTTCTGTTTTGTTTACAAAGTTTAAAGATGACATTTTGAAGTGAAAAGAGTATGCTTTGGACAGTTTCACTTTTTTTTTTTTTTGGTGGAACCGGGGATTGAACTCAGGCCCTTGCGCTTGCCACAGAAGCACTTATTCTACTGAGCCATCTCCCCGGCCCCGACATTTTCACTTTTAACATTTTTACTGAAAATCCTTGTTTTAGGAAGAATTACTAGGTTGGACCACCATTCATTTGTCTTAAGAAGGTTGCAAACCATAGGTTTTTTCTGCATTCTGTGCATCATACAGAATGTGATGTTTGTTTCTTTATATTGATGGTTTTCAAATTTGATTTCAGCAGTAAAAGCTCTTAGATTTTAGTTGGGGTAGAGTTAAATATTAAAGAAAAAATTTGTAAAGCATCATCATTACTCAGTGTAAAAATTTTAGCCTGATGATTGAGGCATTTAGAGGGACTATTTGAGATTAGAATTAACAAAGGAAGGCTTTACAGCTACATCAAGTATGGTTGAAAGTCCTGAAGGTATATTACTTGTATCCTGCTACTGCTTGAAAATTTGCTACATGTTACTTTTAGTGATGCGAAAGCATCTACTAGTAGAGGGAGACAAAACATTATTCTATTCTTTCTGAATACTGCACGTCAAGTGATTATAAATAAAAATACTATTATATATCTTGAGTACCTTAGCTGAAAGAGCTCAGATTGAGGAATCAAGAGGACATACTCTTTTTTTTTTTTTTTTTTTTTTTTTTTTTGGCAGAACCGGGGATTGAACTCAGATCCTTGCGTTTGCCAGTCAAGTGCTTATCCTACTGAGCCATCTCCCCGGCCCCTCAAGAGGACATACTCTTGAGAATACGTGGCTGGAAAAAGAAATGTTCCAAAGTATTTCTCTGATACTCTTTTTTAACTTACTTATAAAATCATGTTTATTTTACAAAGGTCAAGGACTTCAATAATTGTTTACCTGGAGAAAAATATTTATGTAAAAGCAGCAAACAGGAAAAGACAAAAGCTAGCTTCCTTTAACTTTAATTTATTTTTTTTTTTTTTTAGTTGAAGATAACAATACATTCAAAAGGAAAGGCAAGCCTAATTTTACAAAGTTAAAACTTAAGTTCTGAAAAAGTGTATTTGGTACCCAAGAATGAATGAAGACTGTGAACAAAATTTGAGTTAGACCTATGGTTGATGTTTGCTAAAAAATAAGTGAATGCATAGTTGACATAGATATATGAGGTAGCATGTTAAAATGCATTGTATAGCCTAATAGCAATACATTTGTAAGACTCAAGAATAGTAATATTAAATAATTTTTAGTATTTTTAATTTTTGAATTAGATGCTCTATGGATAATAGGCTGAGTCAGTTTTTTGTTTTTTTTTTTTTTTTTGTCTGAGTCATTTTATTGACCGTGAGACCTTAAAGATTTTTGGATAAAAACCACGTTGTAGGCACCTTAACAAAAGTATAATTTCACAGTATTGCTTACTGTTAACTATTTTAAATTAGGATTTAGCAGCAGTGTCTTTGGAACTTCCAGACCTTCTGAATTCACTCCACTTCTGCAGTCTAAATGAAAATGAAATCATTTGTATGAAGGACATAAACAAATCATCAGAGATCAATAATGGTCCTCTAAATCAGGTAATAATAAGTTTTTCAGGGCAAATTTTACAACATTTACTTGAGTATTTAACTTTTAAATGCTTGGGTGTTTTTCTTTTTTCTTTTATACTATCTTAAGTAAATAGGTTTCTTAAGAAATCTAGCTCATACAGTGTTGACATACCTGATGTAGAGAATTTTGGTCATAGCTTATATGTTAATTATTTGTCTCTGAATTTTTATAAGGGATATATAAGTACAAACTAATTTTTTTAATTCAAAATTTATTATTTCTAGATTTCCTTTCTACCTATATATAAGCCATCGAGGCTTTTCTGCTTGACGGTCAAATCCAAATTTAGTTAAGTATTGTATTGTATGTGGTAGAGCATGCACTTCAGCTCATTTCTGGTTAAAACTTTTCTAGGGGTAGTAGACATGATGAGATATTTTAACTTTATAAATAAAAATATTACCATTTCAGATAGGTGGGTAACTTCATACTATTCAGCTTACTGTGATTGATTTGTTGATAAAATATCAAAGAAAAATTCCTTGCTTTTTTTTTTTTTTTTTTAATCGTGGTGCTGGAGATTGAACCCAGGGCATTATATATGATAGGCAGTACTGTGTTTTAGGAGGTAAGATATTTACAAATGAAACATGTATTAAAATTTGTATTATTTATTCAGTGTATAATACTGCTGTGTTCTTTACAAAAATCTTTTGATAAGAAATAGAACTACTTGGCTCATTTATATGTATAGTTTTTATTTATATTTTTCATTCATATTTATTTTGCCTTATTTGCTAGGATGTAAGGGTGGCTAGCTATTGTATTTGTATTTTACTTTTCAAACTACATTATTGGGCTGAGGAGATAGCTTGGTAGTTTAAGCACCTGCCTGGCAAGTACAAGGATCTGGGTTTAATCCCAGGTACTGCATGCCGTGCTGGCCCTAGAATCCTGGGCGCAACTTGCTGGCCACTGAAACCAGGCATGGTGGCGCATGCCTATAAACCCAGCACTAGGGAGGCTGAGACAGGAGGATCACTGAATCTAAGCTACATAGTGAGATCCTGTACCAGATAAATAAATAAATGATTAAAAGATTTTTTAAAAATTTGTCAGTATTTGTGTTTTTAAAGATAATACTTTGGGGGAAAATCTCATGACTTAGAGTCTTAAAACTGTGAACAGTATTGAAAATTTTACTACAAGATATTTTAAAAAGGAGATAGTTCTCTTACTGTGATAGGAGGGAAGATGGGATCATCTGAAAGCCACAGGAAAATGAGATAAAAAATAAAGCAGAATCTATTTTCTGTTCTTGAGCCCTTTACAAGATAGTTGGTGAGATAGGTGAATGAAGAAAACATACTTGCCCAAGGAAATAAATAAATAAATAGATTCCATAACATTTAAAGAAATAGATCAGGTAGAATCTGAAGAGATGGGTAAGAAGAAAATGGAAAAAGAAGAGACTAAGAATTGGGAAATGTAGAGAAAGAATAAAGCGTTGCAAAACTGTGGAGCCTTTCAAAATGTATGCATTTTTGTTTTTCTCAATGTGTTATTTCAAGGCCTCTCTCAGATAAGTTTCATATTTAAAATTAAATTGTGTTTCTCATTTTTTTCTTTCCCAAGAGTCATCATTCTGGAATGCTTTGTGTTATGAGAGTATCACCGACATTACCGAGGCTCAGAGTTGATTTCATCTTTAGTCTCCTAAGTAAATATGCTACTGGTATAAGGTATACCCTGGACACATACTTGCATCAGAACCACCAGCTTGAGACCACTTACGAAGATGAGGATGATACTAACCAGTCTGTGTCTTCCATAGAGGACGACTTTGTTACTGCTTTTGAGCAGTTGGAGGAAGAGGAGGCTTCAAAGCCATATAATGATGGTTTGTTTTTGTTTTCTTTACTAGGGCCTTCCTCTAAAGATCTCCTGTTTTTGAAAAGTGGAAAGTTCACTTTTGAAAGTGATGAGGCATACTTGTTCCCTTGAAATTTATGTTGAAATATTACCTAGCATAAACATTTTAACCTTTTTTATGGTAGTAGAGTTTTCTTGTGATTTTTATCTTTCTCATGACCTGATTTTTAGTTTTACTTCTTCTGTTATTTAGGTGGTACTGTGCAAGCTTTGTTTGCTTTATCACATGGTGTTCACAATCTAGCAGGGCACATATTTCAGAAGAATTAGCTGCCAGAGTTACTACAATAGTGTTTCTGACATGCGTGACAACAAGTTAAGCATTCCAACACTAGGTGTCCCTAGATGTTGTGTAAAATGATATTATTTTAGTAAAAGATGTGTTTGTTTTTAAATGTAACTTGGGATGAATCTTTCTCTTAACAACATAGTATAGGAGATTTATTAACAATAAAGTTTTGATAATTAATTTATTCTGCTATTTAAATTTTTAAGAGTTTTGTTCTAGAATAACTTAACCATTTTAATCTTCTCCTATAGGAATAAATGTTACTACACTCTGGAACCAGTGTGACATGGCTTCTCAGACTATTTGTGGTTACCATTTGGAAACACATGATTTAAAGACTTTAGTCGGCTCTGGACAGCAGAAGACATTGGCTAAACCCTCATCTCCCTTAATAAATGTTCTTGGACATAAAGAACCACTTTCTGTGAAGACTTCAGTCACAACTTCAATTTCAGAGCCGTGGATCCAAAGGAGTTTCTATAGGTCATCTAATGCTTTGGGTAAAGGTGGTGATACACAGAAAACTGTTTGTTCTTCTCCTGCTTACTCCTCAGAATCAGAATGTTCAAGTCCAAGTCCTGTTATTTTCTTGGATGAAGAAGGATATCAGAAAAGTTTAAAAGCAAAACTTGAGCTGCCTAAAATTCCTGTGATGAAAGATGATGTAGAAGATTCAGACTCAGAAGTAAGTGAATTTTTTGATAGTTTTGATCAGTTTGATGAAGTAGAACAAACTTCAGAGACTTCCTGCGTGCTTATAAATGATCCTGTTCAAGGGAAGTCATCACGAAAGAAAGGGCACAAACATGAAAAATCTTGTATGAATCCTCAAAAATTCAAGTCTGATTGCCCGGCTCTTCCAGCTAATGTTAGAAAGCCAACTCCTCGTAAGCCAGAATCTCCATACAGCAACTTGTGTGATGGTCCAGATTCTCCTCGTCCAGTGAAGGCATCAGGGGATGACAGTGGTTTGTTTAGTCCTGTTCGGTCCTCTGCTTTTAGTCCTCTTGGAAGCTGTACTGCTGCTGAATGCTTTTGCCAAATAGATATTGGTGGAAATCAGACTCATGATTCTGTTTATTACACCTATGAAGATTATGCAAATAGTATTTCATGTGAAGTGCTAGAATCAGTTCTTCATAACCAACCAACTAATGAAATGTCAAACATTAATAGTGTTAAAAGAGGAGAAAATGAAACTGTTGCTTTTCAGCATGGAAACATTGATCAAAAAAATAAATCTAAAAGTAAATCTTTAATGATTAAAGATAGCATTCAGAAATTTGCTGCAGATCTGGTGGAAAAAAGTTTTGGTAGTGCATTTAAAGACTTACAGAAAGGAGTCTCTTCATGTACCAGTGCATTGTGCCACTTAGCCATAAAATTGACATCATCTATTTTTCAGATGGCATTTAATGAACTGAGAAGGCAGCATGCATTTTCACTAAAACAGCATGCCATTAGTGGCTTGGCTAATTTTTTGGTGAGTGAAGCCTTATCACATGCCTTAAAAGATTTACAGTATGTAAAGAAGCAAATATTTACAAATACAGTTGCTAGGTTTGCTGCAGATCTTGCTGAAGAACTTGTTTTTGAAGGTATCATGGAAGTGTGCCAATTTTCATATCCTTCAACACCTGCATCTCCACGGTGTCAGTCATTTGATTTTGATGATAAAGTAGTGAAGTCATATGCGAAAGATTTGTCTGAGTCTGTAATACAGGAAGCATTCATTGAGCTATCACAAGTTGATGTGCCCTTCACAACAAAGGCAGCAGTTAGTGTTTCTACAGATATCAAGGAAGTGAATACAGAAAGTGTACCACCGTCTATACAGACCTTCACATTTTCTCCTTCTTTTAATAATCAAGCAATTATGGGGACAAAACCAGTGCAGGAATATAAAAAGGAATACACCATGCAACAGGCCTTGTTTTGTACTTCAGGAATTGTCACTTCTATTCCAGTGCCCTTGGCAGGAAGTGTCCTTCTCCCATATCATATTTCTTCTACTGTATGTCAGACAAATTCTCATCTGTCATTTGATGACAGTAATTCAAATGGTGATTCTTTCCAGGCACATGCTATCACAAAAAACCAAGAAGAGGAAGTAGCTTGTCTCAGAAATATTTGTTTACCTTCAGAACACACTCTAGATAGCCAGAATGATTGCAAAACAACTAATAATGAAACTGAAATTCAAAGCTTTTCAAAATTAACAAGTGAAATTAGCAACTTTTCTGCAGCAATGGTGCAAACAATAGTAAATGAAACTTTGGAGTCAGTGACACCATTCAGAGTTACAAAAACAGCTAATGAACATACTGATTATTTAACTAAAACTATGAAGGGACATTCATCTCCTTCCTCTCTTCAAGTAACACCACAACAGGGGGAAGCTAACAATAAGGATATGTTTACTGAACTGTTATCTAAATCTGTTATTAAAGAATCAGTAGATACAAGCAAATTAATGATCTCAACTTCAGATACAAATACAGTACTTAAGGAAGACTTGCCTGTTGCTGCAGAGGAATCAAAGTTGACTTTGGAAAAGTTGCCAAAATTTCTTGATGCTCAAGATCACTTACCTTGCTGTTCACTTCCCACGAGAAAGGATTATGTTCCAGAATATAAAGATTTGGTGGATCGTGGAATTTCTTTAGCGATACCATCACCTTGTCCAATGGTGACAAGTCAGAAACCTGATCTGAAGGAACTTGCTAAGGATAAGCCATTGAAAAAGCATAATTTGAATGATACTGCACTTGAGCCCATATCTTTTGGACAGGAGAGCCCTTTTGGTCACTCACATACTTTCTCATCAACCGTGCTTACCTGTGTAGATGGTTTGCATGTGGAAGATAAACAGAAAATCAGAGACAGAAGTGTAATACCTGATACTCCTCCATCAACTCCTCTAGTTCCATCCCAGGCTAGTTCTGAATGGGATATCAAGAAATTAACCAAAAAACTCAAAGGGGAATTGGCCAAAGAATTTGCACCTGCTACACCACCGTCTACACCTCACAACTCATCTGTTGGTAATTTGTCTGAAAATGAACAGAACACTATAGAAAAGGAAGAGTTCATGTTGAAACTCATGAGGTCTCTTTCAGAAGAAGTTGAAAGTAGTGAAGGTGAAGAACATCCAGAAATGGATGTGAAGCCAGAACACTCAGGGAAGAAAGTGCAGTTTGCAGAAGCGTTAGCTACACACATAATTTCTTTTGCAACTGAAACAGCAGCCTCTCATTTAGATCACAAAATAATGGAAGAACCTGAGGTTCAAAAACCTTGCTTCAATGTGCAAAGTCAAAGAAGATTATTGCCTATTTTTTTAAGTCGATCTGTTGAAAATTTTCAGACAGGTAGTTTTGCCGGTGATATGGCAGCAGAAATCATTGCAGAAGCTGAGAAAATAGCAAAAGTTAGAAGTTCTGTACTTTGCAGGCAAAAGAAGAATCTTTGTTTTACTGATAGGGACCAAGATTATAGATCAGAAGAGAAGTTGGATATGGAGGTTGTGTATCCAGGAGAAGTGGATCCACTTACTCTTTCAGTACCACCAAGTTCTTGTATGTCAGGTCTGACATACAAGTATCCCAGCTGTGAGAGTGTGACAGATGAATATGCAGGTCATGTTATCCAAATACTAAAGCAGGAAGGTGGCAATGGTGAGTTAATAATGGATCAGTATGCCAGCAGACTTGCTTATCGGTCTGTTAAATCAGGTTTACAAGAAGCAGCTAAGACAGCCAAAATGCAGTGCAGCTCAAAAATGTCCCTTGTGCAAAGTACACAAGAGAGAATAAACAGTGAACTGTCCATGTTTTCAAATGAACACTGCCAAGAAGAAGGAAAAAAAAGTAAAAGAAAAGGAAATGGAGGTCACCTTTGTCAAAATCAAGCTTGTGAAAGGACAAAAGATAAGTGGAGAAATGAAGACTCTTATTTATATAGTTTTTCAGCCTCTCTTGCTCACTGCATAACAAGAGATGTTAAAAAAGAGCTGACAGCACCTAAAGTTGACTTGCCAAAATCCTTAACAGAGTCCTGCCTTTTTGAAAAATCTGGATATGTTGAAGATACTGAGTACCACATAGAACCTGAATTTCCTAAACCTCTTCAATCTTCCTCACAAAACCAAGGGTTTCACCACAGTACAGACAGCTTAAATGGGCATGGTTGTGGAGAGAATATTGTTCAAACTATAGAACAGTATGCTAAAAAAGTAGTGGATGACACTTTAGAGTTAGGTCTAGCATCTAAAGTTTTCCAAGCATCGGAGACCACAAAATCAGTGGATAGGATCACTTATGCAGACAAGTTGTCACGTCTTACAAATCAAAATTGTAGGTATTGTGATCTTAAGGAGCTCCATGATTGTACTGGAAATTCATCTCAGCACTTTTTCAAACAAGATTCATGTGTTAATAGTAAGCTTGTTAAAAATTTATACTTTAGCAACATCTATCAGAAATCTCGAATTTTTCACCTTGATGTCCCTCAAATTCATGTAAATCTTGATAACAAATCATTACTTGCTGAGAAGATAGTCGCTGAAGCCATTGAAAGAGCAGAGAGAGAGCTAAGCAATACCAGTTTGGCTGCTGATAGTGGAATTGGACAAGATGGCATTAGTTTTGCTGAGAGCCTTACTACAGAAATAATGACATCAGCCATGACGAATGTTGGACATGCTGTCTGCAGGTAATTTTCAAAATTTTGGATGGTCTTAATGATAAAATGAAAAGTTGAACTTGGTCATGTGTGTCTTTAAGTCCTGTTCACAAACACATAATTTTTAAAAAATACTAATGTTTTCCTACACTATTTGTCCATGGTTTCATATCCTACATATGATTTTCATGTGTTTTTGTCTCCCATTATCTTTTGAGTAAAAGTAATGCATTTTTATTTATTTTTGATACTGGGGATTGAACCCAGGACCTTTATACTAAATTGCATTGCAAGCCCTTGTCTATTTTGAGATGTAGTCTCACCAAGTTGCCCTAACGAGGCTTTTATGATCCTTTTACCTCAGCTTCCCAAAGTGCCCGGATTTACTAGCATGTACCACTATGCCTAACAACCTGAGAATTTTGTACAGCAAATGTATACTAGTATTAATTTTCTTTTCCTTTTTTTTTTTTTTTTGTGGCCAGCTCAGACTACCCTGGGGGTGGTATGGTGGGGCATGTGGTGCTGGGGGTCAAACTGTGGTCCCTGCGCATTTACTAAACTTGCTTAAGCAGACACTTTAGACCGCTGAGCTAACCTCACCAGCCCTAATTTTCTATTCTGAGATAAAATTTTTATAGTTTTTCCTGTTTACAAAGGTAAGTGTTCTTACAAAGAGCTTAGTATAATCCTGTTGCTCTGAGGAAGAAAGCAAACATGTACTTTCAGCAGTTCCACCACCTCTTTGTTCCATAGTAACGTGTTCTGCAGTTTTTGTTTCTTCTGCTGAATTAATTTTAACAACTTGGTTAACATTTTCATTTTTAACCTTTTTTCTTTTTCTTTTTTTTTTCAGAACTGGGGATTGAACTCAGGCCCTTGAGCTTGTGAAGCAAGCACTTATTCAACTGAGCTATCTCCCCAGCCCCTTTAACCTTTTTTCTATTTGAGAAAATATCAGGACTATCCCATGTTATTAGTCTGTAGATGGTTTGAGTTGAGGTAGATTTTAGTTGAGTCACATAATACCTCAGATTTTTGAATATTCAAAACTATGGGTAGGGGCGGGGAGTTGGCTCAGTGGAATAAGTATTTGCCTGGCAAGTGCAAGGTCCTGAGTTCAATCCCCGGTATCACCATACAAACAAACAAAAAACCTATGGATAATTTTCAGAACTCAAAACACCAGAATACTGATAAGAATACAGAATCAAAACTATGATAAAGCCTGCCACTTTTTAAAAAAGGCATCCTTAAATAGGGAGATGTCATTTGTCCAGAACTCTTGAATTCTTAGAATTCTCTTAGGATGAGAGGTGCTATGGGTTTGACTTAATTGGGAGGCTGCTGTTCCTGTAGGTCAGAGGCTGTAAGTTATGATCTCTGAGCTCATTTGTGGCCCACTCTTTGATTTTGTATGGCCTGCAAGCTAAGAATATTTTCTATACCATTTTAATGGCTGAGGAAATCAGATAACATTTGTCATACATGAGAATTATATGAAATTCAAACTTCCATCTTCATAGACTTTATTGGAATACGGCTATGTTCATTTATTTATATATTTTATGTGGCTGTGCTTGTGCTATGATGATAAAGGTGAATAGCTGGAAATACCTAGGTATTTACTATGTGGCCCTTTATAAAAAAGGTTTATGAATCTCTATCATATAAATAAACCCATGGTTTATTTATTAGTTGTGGTAATAAGTGATAGTAAGCTAGGTCCTTAAAAAAAAAAAAGCAATTTTCTTATACAGTGGCCTCAGGTTGTTTTATCCCCAATTCCTTTCCCAACATCAAAGCACAAAAACTCTCTGAAGTTTGTAAGACATCACTTCCAGAACCCAGCAAATACAGCTAATACTCTTGTTATTTATTCTTCAGTATACTCACTTTTTCTTGCTAGAGCTGTTTGGTAATAGATAATTACCCTTCAAGGTCTTGTGGTAAGCCAGCTTTTTTCCAGATTGGTATTTACAAAGAGTACCTTGCAATTTTTTTTCCTGTTTTATTTTTCTATTTTTTCCCGCATAGTGCTAGGGATAGAACTTAGGGTCATGTGCACAGGGCAAGCACTCATCACTGAACTATATCCCTGGCCCTTACTTTGTTTTGAGATAGACTCATTAAATTACCTGCACTAGTCTCAAACTTACGATCCTGTTGCCTCAGTCTCCGAAGGTGCTAAATTGCAGACATGTTGCACCACACTTGGCTTCTCTTAGTAATTGTTTAGTGCGATACGTGCTTGTATTAGCCAGCTTTCCTAGTGTTAGATGCAATGCCTGACATACACCGCTTGAGTGAAAGCAGGTTTACTGGGGCTCTCAGTGTCTTTCAGTGCATGGTCATCTAGTTGCAAGGTAGAAAAACCTTAATAGGAGACCGTGGTGGAACAGACTTACTTCATAGAGGGCAGGTAGCAGAGCAGAGTGCCTGAGAGGAAGGAGCCAGGGACCACAGACAGTGGTACCTAGGTTGATGAACTTAATTTGTTCTGTGACTTTGGAAAAAGAGGGCCACATTTGTACTTGGGTGGGAAAGATGGTCATGGGAGTGTTTATTACCTGATGCAGAGCTTGCAAGTAAATTACTGGCAAATGAAAGAGTTAGTGAACTGAGGTACCACTGTATAGTGCCATGCCTCTATGTCCCACTCAGACACCCAGACATGTGCTTTACTAATGTGCTGGGTATTTCTTTTTAATTTCATAGTATTTGTTGTAATACATAGTATTGTCTTCATGCTGGGTGTTTCTTAATCCAGTCAAGTAGACATACAAGGATTAATTATCAAAAGCAGTCCTTTTCAAATTCACACCCAAGCATATCTCCTTAAGCCATATTTATTCTTCAGATAAAGACAATAGTAAATTCATAATTTTCCCTAATACAATACAGCTATCCCATGTAGAACTGGAAGCGGAATTATCTATTTTTCAAAGTCTCAACAGTTCTAGCATTTTGCAAAACTTTCCTCTGAACTTCAAGGCAAACTCTTTGTAATTGTGAAACTGTAAAACTCAAAAACAAGTTATATAATTTCAAGATGACAGATTGAACATTTCCATTCCAAAAGAGAAGAATAAGGGGATAAAAAGAATCAGGTTGAAACAAGACTGAAAACCCAGCAGGGCAAATATTAAGTACTGTGTTTCCTTGTTTGGCATCTGGAGCACAACCTAGTGATGTGAGTTCCTTGGGGTCTGGGTGGTCTTGCCCCTTACAATTTATTGTCACTCATCTGACCTCTTTCATGGGATTCCTTTCTTGGCTGTAACTTTACTTGGTAGACATTCCATATCCCTTAAATCTCCAAACTCCTATTCTCTGGTCTCCATTGTACCTTTGTTTTATTTCCATGGCTTTATCCACTGTTCTGTTGGGCTTGCCTGGTCTTTTAGGCTTACCGTTTTATTTTATTTTATTTATTTTTTTTTGTTTTGTGCAGGGTCTCACTATGCAGCTTGGACTCGTAGTGATCCTCCTGTTTTCAGCCTCCACAGTGCTGGGATTATAGGTGTGCGTCACCACTCCCAGACTGTTGTGGCTCAGCTCACCCGGGGGCTGGGCCAGTGCAGCATGTGGTGCCTGGTATTGAAGTTGGTCTCTGCACTTGCCTGCATGCTTACTCCACTGAGCTATCTCGCTGGCCCTTAAGCTTACCTTTGAAATCTGGACGGAAGCCTTTCTTATCCCATAGCTCTTCTTGCATTTTTGCATGTGAATAAAACCAACATCATGTAAACAAGTCTGCTCTCAGTGGAAGCAATAGTCAGGCCCCCTTGGATCCTGGCCAAACTGCTATTGAGTGCCTGGATGGTTGATCACAGGCTCTTCTCAAGCAGGGGTCCCAGGGACTTCTCAAAAGATTGACATTTTTATATCCTTGAGTCTTTAATGTGTGAAGTCTTTGTTGATCCCTGAGATACCCTTAATCAGCATCTTTCTTCTTATTCCCAATACAAAGTACTTGATTTCTTTCATATGGTGCTGATCTTCTTGGCAGCCACACTTCCATTGGTTCCAGTTGTATAAGTTCCTCCTGGACCTAAATTTAATTTTTCCCAATTTTTCTGCTCTGCTTTTTCTCCAATTTGCATCATAAATCTGGCTAAATGTAGCCAGCAGTACCTGTGCCACAGCCTGAATGTTGGGCTGCCTTGACATTTTCTCCACCAGATTAATTAGTTACCATCCTTAATTTCATCTCCTTCGAAGTCTCAGGACAGGGCAAAATGCATCTCTAGCTGCATTTTCTGCCTAAGCGCTAACACATATGTCTTTTGTCCTAATTCCAGTAGAATCCTTGTTCCAAACTAAAATCTCTTGAGCCTGGCTTTTCCTCTGTTCATTCTTATCAGTATTCTCTGGTCTTTTGAGTTCTGACAGTTACCCTTTAGGCAATGTTTACTGCATTCTAAGGCTTGCCTTGCCCACATCTCCAAATCTTTCCAAACTCTTCTTGAAAAACAGTTCCATGGGGCTGGTGAGATGGCTCAGTGGTCTAAAGCACCTACTTAGAACAAGCTTAGCAAAGCAGAGGGACCGCGGTTCAATCCCCCAGCACCACATGCCAGCCAGCCCCGTCCCTGGTGGGCTGAGCTGGCCACACACATACATACACACACACACAAATAAATAAAATTTAAAAAAGAAAAACAGTTCCATATGGCTTCCTATCTATATGGTGAGGCACAATCACCAAAGTGACCCCACTTCTCACTTACCAGTTTTCTGTAACTGGAAAACAGCATTACTGTTATGTGGACACATTGCTTAATACCTTCAATTTAAAGGAGAAAAGGTATAATTTGGCTCACAGCCTCAGAAGATGCAGTCCATGGTTGGCTGGCTCCAAGGCTGTACAGGGAATAGTGCCAAAGAGCGAAGGTCCAGGGACTGTATTTAGTCGCCAAGGCCATGCCTCCATGATTTGCCAGGGTGCCCAAAAGAATACTAATTTGCTGAGTGTTTTTCTTTAAAAATTTTTTTACTGTTATTTTTTAAAGAGAATTGGGGCTGGGATATGGCTCAGTGGAATAAGCGCTTCCCTGGCAAATGCAAGGGCCTGAGTTCAATCCCTGGTTCTGCCAAAAAAAAAAAAAAAAAAAAGGCATAAAAATTGAAAGAATAACAGAATTTCACTAAACAAAATAATAGGAATTCAACAATGGTTGTTATATTTCATATGGTTGTCTTCAAATTAGTTATTCAGATTACCAGATATAAGCATGTAAAATTGGTCAAAAAAGCTATAGAAAGTTAAAAAGGAAAAAAGAAAAAAAATTAATTGCTCCTTTCAATAGAACAGTAGAAATCAGCAGCACAGTTATCCAGACTATTTTGTATATATTCATAAAAATGTATCCTTTTCTTTTTTCTTCTTTTCTGTCTTTTGTCATTTTCCTCATCCCAGTTTTTCCTTTGTTTTGACAGTTTCTTTCCTTCTCACACTGTCTATTGTACCTTTCACATTTTATTTACTATTTTAGGTTCTTACGTTGGCGAGACACTGCAATGTTTACACATGTGGGTCTGATTTTTTCACTTATGAGTATGGTTTCTAGCTGCATTCATTTACCTAAAAAAGCCTCTCATTTGCTAAGTGATTTTTTTTTTTTTGCTAAGTGTTTTTTAATCTAGTAAAGTTGACATATCGAGTTGACTTTGATATGTACAGTTTCACACTTTCTGAAGTGAAAATTGTCTTTCAGACTTAAAAGGAGATTAATTCAAATGGATTATTTTGTAAGATATTTGGATTATTTCACTAGTGTCCCTTTTCTCTTAAAAGGTTGGTTCATGAAACTAACCATAAATGGATTACAAAGTTGTATACATCAGGGTTGTAACTGAATGTCAAATGGAAAGCTGTATTATGATGTTTTTAAAGAGGAACAAAACATCTAGCTAAGCCAGTGATAGTAAACCTTCTAGAGATGAGTGCCCAAACTCCAACCCAAAACCTACTTGTGTATTGCAAGTGCCACACTGCAATTAAACCTGAAAACAGGTTTTAGTTTTTAAAAAAACCTCATATATTAATTCTTTTGTCTTAAAAACGTTTCATATGCATGCTGTAGGTTCACCACCAGTGATCAAGGTTATATTATAATCTGTTCTTTCCAAAATCTTCTAGTAGTCATTAAAAAGTCTGTGGACCATATCCTGTTGGTCATTTTCTGTACACTGTAGCACATGAGGAAAAGTGTTCAAAAAGAACAAAGTATTATTCAGCACTCATTGTAGTATGTCTGTCCTGAGACTGCCTTATATGATTCATGTTGGCATATCTTAAATACAAAACGAGAGTGCCTATAAAAGAAAGGCAATTTCAGAGCTAGTCTAGATACAGGGGGTGTAGATGAAATGAAAAGCAAAAATCTATGTTCTCTTGGAGCTTATATTAGAATAGAATAAGATAGACACTAGATATGTAAAACTGATTTGTGTGTTCCTTAATGCTAAGTGCCTTGCGAAAAATAAAACAAGGGATTTAGAGAATGCTAGTGATGGTAGAGTGTGGGTACAGTTTGTTGCAGGCTTGATTAGGCAGCAGTGGAGGCAATGCTGGCAAAGTATTGTTTGAGCCAAGAGCCAAAGGTGGTCATGTCAGAATCAAGAGGGAGACAGATTCCAGGTGAGGAGGTGGTTGCATATCTGTCAAACAATTGAGAGTACTGTACTGCTGTAGTGGAACCAACCAGGGGCAGTGGTAGGTGATAAGTTAGACGTTATCGATCAGGACCAGCCAGTGTGTTTTCAGAACTTGGTTTCTAATTCTAATTGGTGAGAAGCCATTGGAAGTTTTTGATTGGAAGACTTTAGAAACATTACTTTAAGTTACTTTGTTAAAAATAATATGCAAGGGGCCAGGGAGATGGCTCAGTGGAATAAGCACTTCCCTGGCAAGCGCAAGGGCCTGAGTTCAAACTCCAGTTCCACCAAAATAATAATAATAATAATAAAAAAAATAATAATAATATAATAATAATAAGCAAAAAGGGCATTTATGGTAGATGAGCAATGTGCTTTTCTGTGATAAAGGAATATATTTATAAATGTCTGTTCATTAGAGAAAGAGTGAAAAGAGATGTGATCCATGCTTAGAATCCTGAAGAGCTTAGGCTACTTTTGAATATAGGCCTGACTGACATTGCTGGAATTTCTGAACTACTTTTCTTGTTTTTTGTTCCTAATGCCAGGAAGAGCTCCTTTACTATAGATAAAAGTATTGTTTTATGAAGCAGATGATTAAACTTTGTGCTTAGCTACTTTTTTCTCATTGCTGGGACACACACTCAAAAGTAAGGAAGGAAATGTTTATTTAACTCACAGTTTGTGGAGGTTTCAAGCTATTACTCGGCTGGCTCCAAGGCAGAGTGGCACATGGCAGAGGGCAGCAGTTCATAGCAGCGGAAATCAGCAAAACAGCAAGAGCAAAAAGAGAAGCAGTGGCAGCAAGGAAGCCCCTCTCTCTTCCTTATATTGCATTCAGACTATCAGCCCCAGGGTGGGTATAGCACTCACATCCATAATTACTGCAGCTCTCATTCTCTGAATTCCAACATTGGATCATGAATTAATCACATAGTATAGAAGCCTGCCCCCAGCTTTGGGGCTTTGGGGAGACAAGCAGACACAAACCATAACACTTTGCAATAGTATTTCCTTAAAGTGTCTCGCTTGAAAGTATTTACTGTTTTAAATAGAATTTAATGACGCAGTAGGGGTAGAACTATAGTACACTCCTAGGTACCTTAGTTAGCTTTAAAATTAATATGGTCTGAGTATTAGCAGATACAGTGAAAGGTTTGAGAGACCACTGATCTAACTCTGAATTTAACTTTTGTCATCTTTATCATCAACTCACTTGTCAAATAATTTAGAACTTACGATGCTTCCAGTGTGGCTTATAAGTTTTTTTTTTTTTTTCTTTCTCATAGTTCAAAAGAAATAGAAGATGCTCAGTCAACTGAATCACTTGGTAGTCAGCAGATGAATCTCAGTATTGGTGAGGACAGCACTGGTAGCTGGTCCAATTTAAGTTTTGAAGATGAACATCAAGATGAAAGCAGCAGTTTTCATCACCTAAGTGAAAGGTAACTGTAGTTGTGTATATAATTCTGTAGTCTAGATCTTCAGACCTAAGAAGAGAGCTGTAAATTTACATTGAGTATTATTTAAAATAACTAAATTTGAAAATTGAAGTTATATTTTATTCTTAATGCATTTGTAATGGTTTGGATAGTTACTTAATGCATAATGCTATTAATTAGCTGAGCTAATTTTCTTTGAGTATACCAATAGTTGATTTGAGAAATAGTATAGTTTTTTCTTTGTTTGCTTTTACATCTTTTAAGCCTTTCCTGAACTTTTGTGGGTTTTTTTTTTTTTTTTGGGGGGGGGGCGGTACTGAGAATCAAGCTCACAACCTTGAGCTTGCCAGGCAGGCACTTTTCTGCTGAGCTATATCCCACGCCTTTTTCCTGAACTTTTCAGGAATGTGTTTTAGAAGCTTTAGAGAGGACTTCTTTTGTTTTCATTAGAGGATAGGCAAAAGAACAGGTGTCTATGACAGCAATTAAAATAGGCACGTGGTTCTTCTTGATAATAGTTTAAAATAGTATTTTTGGAGGGGAAGAAAACAGTCCTTGAATTATTGTTAGAAATAAATGATTTAAAAATTCATAGAGTCCTATCCCAGGTCCAGTGAGTGTGTGGGAGAGCTTCCAGCTACCCTGCGCCAGCAGGACCTACTACTGGTCCCAGCCCAGGTGCAGCGTGGGTGAGACCCTCTTCCACCCCCTTGGGACACCCA